CTTTAAAAAGAATACATCGATTAGCAATGGATTATAAATATACTTAATTATTATGAAAATACCAGAGATGGCTTGAATATAAACTTGATAAACTATATTGTCACAGTCGAGTGTTTATTGTCTTTGTTTTATCATTCAAAACATTTATATGTTCTGTTGTGACTGGATATGTGGATATTCTGTGCGAGAGCGCCCTCTGGCGTCCAGTATGAATGAAACAGACATCATGTGTTTATAGTGCTATGGCCAATCTATCGTTTTGGGGGAATTTTTATTTATTTGTTTTTTTTAATAAGTATCAGTTTAGGCACCGGAACCGTTTTAAAAGTATCGATTTGGCACCGGTATCGAAAAAAAAAAAAAACGATACCCAGCCCTAATTATACACTACTAATGTGATATGAATGTGTTTCAAAACACCTCCAAATGTGGTTCCAGTGTTCCAATTAAAAAACATTTTGACATGTCTGATAACATGCATCCGGATCAACTGAGACAGGTGTTAGTACCAGGTGTAAATGTGGCTTATTATATACTTATAGGGACCTGAAAGCTTAGTCAAACTAGCCAAATTATGTTATACAGATATGCAGATCTCTAAGCATTTGAATTCTGCACAGTTGACCGTGCTGCTTCTTTTGGGGCCTGATCGTCAGTTTTTCTATATATTTTCTGTCATGTATGTTCAGTGCAGCTCTGTGTATTTCACATGTGGATGTCCTGAATTACACAGGCCAGTTCCTCTGTGGAAACAGGCGCTGTGAGAATAAGGAGGGTCTGAAGAGCTGGGAGGTGAATTTTGCCTATGTGGAGCAGGGGGAGAAGAGGAACGCCTTGGTGAAGCTGCGTAAGTGCCGTCTAAAGCTTGCATGCTGTAATCTCCTCCACTCACAGGACACAGGGGTGGAGCTAATCAAATTAGTGCCAAATTAGGGAAGCCCATGTCTGGATTTGTGAGATTCAGTAGTTTTTACTGCTAATTAAGCACGATTATTGCTTTTATTAGTGTTGATGTTACTGTTACTGTTGATGAAAAAAGAAAGCTACTTTACCTCAACGGGCTGCAGTGCATTAACATGTCTTTTAAGTATAGATTACTGTACTTAGTGTATACTAAATATAGTTTATTAAAGTAGGGCCAAAAAATCAGAGACATCATAGAAATCTGGGATTCAAAATTAAGTTTTAACCTGGAAAAACTTTTAGGATTCTGACAGTTTTTTTAATCAAAGACACATTATGACATAAAAGCATAAGAAATATTAAAGAAGTGTTAATTATACATTATTTGAGACACTAATTAAATGTAAACTAAAGCTATCTATCATCTATCTATCTATCTATCTATCTATATATATATATATATATACTGTATATACACACACACATATATGTACACACACACACACATTTGATGATTTTTTTTTATATACATATATCATCAAATGTTTGGAATACTTAAGGTGTTCCAATGTTTTTGAAAGATGTCTCTTATTAAAGCTGCATTTATTTGATCAAAAATAAGTAATATTGTAAAATATTGTTACCCTTTAAATATATATTGTATTTATTTAGGAACCCCAATGTGCATGGTTTACTCAATCACTACACTGTTACATTTGACATTTTTTTTTAATTCAGATAAAGTCAAAGGAATTTGTTTCAGTCTTTTTAAATATTGACCTATCGTCACATTATATTTCAAGGTCTGTGTCCAGAGTGTTCCTTTAAACTAAACTATCATCACAAGTAAGAACATTCAGCCATTACAAACACAATTACATGTTCAGATATTCTTAGACCTGGAGACCTCGACTTTTAAACTGTGATACCTGTTCCAGGAGAAAAGAAGTAACAGTGAAGAAGAGACGGCGATCAAAAGAGAATGTGGACAAGTCACTGTCAAAGACATCCAAATCATCCAAAAAGCACAAGCGCAAACACAAAAAGAGGCGCAAAGGCAAGTACATTTTCATTGCAAATCAAGCTTCCAGACATTTCCCAAGACATGGAAGTTTAGGAAAAGCATTTCACTGCCTGTATATGCTTAACTTTGTTGTATTTTTGCGGTGGTGTTTTGTACTCGGACTTTAAAAGAGAACCAGAAAAAACAAAACAAAGGAATGCAAGCTTGGTTTAAATTCTAGAGTTTATGTTGACCAAAGTTGCTTGTTAAATAAAACCATTTTTTTCTGTACAGAATACTCATCTTCAAGTTCAGAGGAGTCCCAGGGTTCAGATAAAGGTATGCATACCACTTTTTCCACCAAAAATGACTAATGACTGTCATCTAGCACCCTCAGGCAGAGAATGTACTCAGTATAGCTTAATAACTAGACCTCTGAAACAACTCCACTAACATCTTTATTCAGACAAATCCCAGGTAATAGCAGATTTTGGATGGGGCATTTCAATCCCTGACCTTAAATATTGCACGTGGGCATGTAACTCACCCCACACTGAGTAGTTCTTTTACCACAAAACCTTTATCAGGCATAAATCCTGCTATAGCAAGAGATATGTGAGTCTGATGTGGTGTGTTCTCCAGATGCAGAGGGTGGAGAAGAAGAGGAAGAGGGTCCTTCAGAGTCAGACCACTGGAGGGGTCCAGCGCCCACCATGGAGGAGAAGTCACGGTGAGTCCCGTTTATGAATCATTACGATATATTTTATTACAATGTGGAGTATATATGCACACAAATGTGAGAAATGTGTTTCTAAAGCTCTTGAATGCTGGGAATGTTTTTCTAAAAACGTCTGGTTCTCTTTCAGGGAGGAAGAGTTTGACGAGTATTTTGAAGACATGTTTCTCTGAGTCGAGGAAAGGAAGATCCAAGAGAATCTCATGCCTACTGTTTTCTTTTATACCGGTTAGCTTTGTTTTTGAGAAGTGTAGTTTGATTACAATTTGGTGATTATTATTTACATTTTTTGTAATAATTTCTACTGGGTTTCATTCAAGCATAAAAATGTGCATGTGTAGGCCTTATTCATAAACATTACCACATTTTGTGTGTGTGTGTGTGTGTGTGTGTGTGTGTATAACATGATGATGCCAGGGGTTAAATTGGGATTTGCTATGTGCTATATCGAGTTTATATATATATATATATATATATGTGTGTGTGTGTGTGTTTGCAATTGACATAATTGCACAAAATTGAAATTATAAAGCGCTTGTAAAATCGTTTTTATGTATACATGCAACATCTGATATAATAGTTTTATGACTGATTCGTGGAAATATTTGTTCTGCTCAGATTTTGTATGAATGAGTGTTTATCAGTATAAGTGTTTGTTTACTTACTTTTAATGTTTAGTGAGCTCAAATAATGATACTGAAGAGATATTTGGGTTCCTGTAAGTACAGCAGTCAATAACAGTATTTTAGGAACCCATAGTTACTTAACAAGCTACTGAGTTTACAGGCAGACCCTATCAATGTTTGTATAATCTGACCCATTAAATGTTGACAGAATGACAGACGTGCTGTTGTCCTTTATGCCTAGAAATCACAAACGCATTAGCACTGGGTTTTTAAAATGGACAGACTTTCTATTTTATACCCCTCACGTCAGCCTCTCAGGACAAGCTCACTTGGTCACGGTAGACTGTCAAACTGCCCCGGGCCTTGGCTTACCCAATGGTGGCTGCCAGCCAATCAATGTGAAGAATCAGTCAGATGGGGTCAGAAAGCCTTTTGTTCACTCTGATCCGTTATTCAGCATGTATAATATGTATAAGTTCCCATGTGATTGCATTTTTGATGCATTTCTGTGTTTCCACAAATCATAAAATGACAGGTGGAGTCTAGAGTTATAAAAGTTAAACATGAAGCCTTTGGCTCTATATTGAAAGACCCATAGAAAGAGAAGTCATTTGTCTCGGCTGTCAGCCAATTACCTGAGCCTCTTTACCTGGGGATGATCCAGCTTTATTAGGTAATCCGCTGCATGATAGAAAAGTCAGGAGAGGTTCCTCCTGACATGCCCTCTAAGCAACCTAACAGAACTGTGCAGTCACAGAGAACTCAAGCTAATAGCGGATATGGTCAAAGACTACTTGAGACTCTGGAAAGTTCAGAATAATGCCTTTATTTGTTCACATGACATCATTTACAGTATATGTGTGGTAGTATTAAGTAAATAAGATGATCAGATATCAGTCCCACACTCACTCCAAATGACAGTAGATATTATTATACACAATCCTAGCAAAATGCATTAACCTGAGATGAGATTTACTCACTTTTGGCCTCTTCAGTCTGATCTGGACTTAGAGGGTTTGACATTTAAGTGTAGTCACTAGTTCCAGTGAAGTTATTTAGACTGCCGTGGCCCCTGTTATTGGATTAAAGGCCTTAACTGATTTTTCTAACAAGCGGATATTGCATAAGATTATATTTTTTTCAATGTATTTACTACAGCTCTCCATAGGTTACTTGTTTTTGTCGGTGCCTGGTGTTTTTTCTAAAGCAGAATGACCTATTTTTGATATCAGTGGTTCATTCGCTAGTTTAACAGTTACTGCTGTCATCAGATTCTCCAAAGATCAGAAAAGAGAGACTTTGACTTCACGAATTGGGTTTGTGCTGTCTGCCAGAGGAGATATCAGTAGTCTTCAGTAGTCTGCTTTAAATAAACATGGTATTTAAAGATTAAAATGGAGTGAATCTCAGGAGCTGCTCCCCCATCAAACTCACTTCAAATCTCCTTATAGGTTTACATGTTCAAGTACTGACCGTTCCCCCTTGCCTTGTCATAGCATGCAATGCACTTTCTTTAAATATTCCCTGACGTTTTGTATGCCCTGCTCACGTCTCCATAGAATACCACTTAAACATTATTTAAATGTTTGGTATCAACAAATACCTCTATGTTATCAATTGATATTCTATGTAATACACTCATATTCAATAATACTTTATGGTTGAAAACTATGTGTGATGCTTAGATATCAATAAATGATTAAAGAACAAACATCAAAGTTCTGGTCATAAATGTTCTCCACATATTCACAGAATTAGCCATATCGCATTCTCAGCTTCATCTTCTTTGGAGAACAAAAAAGTAGAAAAGACATCCATCCAAACACAACTGCGACAAGCAGATGCAAATGCAACTTGCAAGATCTTTAGCCTTGGCAGTGCCATCTTTCCTTTGAACAACTCGTAGTCAGTGTGCAAGACTTGTAGCATGAGATCTTTGTACATTTCACAAAGCGCTTGCTAATAAGAAATCAGCTTCTAAAAGCTTATTCAAATGAGTTGGTCCTTCAACCCTAAACAAAGCAACTGAAATGTATTAAAATATGCTTTGCGGTAGTTTAAAAGTAAAGTGTGTCATTTAATGTGATGTTAAAATGCTTTCAAACCAAGTTAATATGCAGAGAAATCTAAAAGAAGTTGATTTCACAAAAAAAAAAAAAAAAAAGTGTTCTGCTATTAAAACATTAGGCAGCCCAACAACAGAAACACCAATGGTGTTTGTTTGGGGGCGGGGCTATCTGTGTGTTTGACCAATTACAGATGAGGGGTGTGTTGAGGAAACTTGTTCGAAAACATCGAAACTTGTCAGCATTTTTGCAATTCTCACTTGGTGGAGAAATTACACACTTCACCCTTAAGTGTGATTCAGTGAATTCATCAAAAGAATAAATATCAAATTGGAACTCCTATGAAATCGAGAAGTATGCTATTTTGAGAAATTAGCAACTGGTAAGAAAGTTGTTCATACGTATTGCTCTAATTCTTAATGTTATGCTGTTTGCATGACATACAACAGTCTTGAGAACTGTTATGGACTCAAAAGCCGTACATCAGGTAAGCTCTGTGAACTACAGCACTATAAACATTTGTAGAGTTGTGTTTTCGGCCACCACTGTGTGGCAAGTTGCATATGCAGTACTTCCTCCAGCGTAGTTAGTTGTTAAAAGGTACAGTCGAGGTGAAATCAGTGATTAGGTACAAGCTTGAAATTGTCTATATGGTGCACTAGGCTGGCACCCCATCATAAAGAACATCTGACAGGTACAGTTCTTCCCTTTCTGGTGAATGCCTACGTGTTCACTTGGAGAAGGTACTTCCGAGGAAATGAGACAGAAAGCTGGTGAAAATGTAGTGGTCCTAGGAGCACGTTTCACCTCCCTCTACATGCTGGCCCAGACTTCTCTGTGGCTCTGAATTTCTGTCAGATGATGTTTAAAATATGGTACAGGTTTTGGACTTTCCTCCCTCTCCACCATCCTCACCAGCGGCTTCAGTGAAGAAAAAAATAGACGACAGAAAATCAAGTTGCTGCAAAGTTATGACCGTTCCCCCAAGGCTATGAGGTCGGATTAGCACAAGGTATGCCATAAACACTTTCAAAAGGTTCAAATATGTCGAATCTGGGTACTATTATGCACCCTTTAGGGGTAAGTAAGGTACAAAAGTGTACCTTTGGAAAGGGTCTCTTTTTTTTGCATCCCTTGCCATTTTCTGATCTGCTTAAAGGGATAGTTCACACAAAAATGAAAATTTTGTCATTAATTACTCACCCTCATGTCGTTCCAAACTTTGCTCATCTTCGTTCAAGAATTGTTGATTAAAGTCATTATTCTTGTTTTCTTTGCACACAAAGTATTCTCGTAGCTTCGTAAAATTACGGCTGAACCACTGATGTCGCATGGACAATTTTACAGATGTCCTTGCTACGTTTCTGGGCCTGGGAATATTTCAGTTGCGTTGCATTGTTTCTGAGCGCAGGGTCAGAAAGCTCTCGGATTTCATCAAAAATATCTTAATTTGTGTTCCGAAGATGAACGAAGGTCTTACAGGTTTGGAACGACATGAAGGCGAGTAATTAATGACAGAATTTTCATTTTTTGGGTGAACTATCCCTTTAATCTACAATCCCTGTCCACAAACGAACAATAAGATGTCAACTAATGGGTCCAACATACCTTTTTTAGCCTGCTCCTCTTCTAGTCGTTTTCGTTCATTCTCTATAGCGTCTACTTTTGCTTGATAAATATCAGCCAGTTCCTTCCAATGGACCCTGTTGTTGTTCAGGCCATCGAACATGGGAGTGATCTCTTTGTGGAACCTTGAAAATTCCTGTGCGAGAAAAGAGGCCTGTTACTGCAAGCATTCACAAGCACACCAGTAACTGCTGATCCATCATTCCCTGTCAGAACACCTAAGCAATGTTGTGCTGACATGCCAGAAAGAGGCCATTATGGACAGATGCCCCATTTACATGGATGTCTGGATTGTGCAAAAACAAAATTGATTGACAGTTGGGTGGATTTACCTTGTACACAAACGAGCACACGAAGTCAATGAAACCACACTGCATTTTCGGAAGTTCATCCGACTTGTTCCTGTCCATCATGGGCTGAGAAAAGATTCAAAGGATACGTATTCTCATTCAAGCACTACTTTTATCACAATGCGACCTTTCTAAAAGCAAAACTGATCTCCACAAACTTACAATGGGTTGTTGGTCTAGCACAGTCCTCTCCAGGTCTCCCTGCTCCCAGAATTCAGCTGCCACCATGAGAGCCACCTTCGGATAGAGCGTGTTTAGGTTAAATGAATGTCTTTTAACCCAATGCTGGATAATCCTAGCCATGAATAACCAAAGTTGCACCTACTTTGCTCTGGACCTCCCATGGCTTGGTAATGGCAGACAAGTCACATCCAGTCATCATCATTGCCCTGTTTGGAATCAAACACATGTCTTCAAACTCTCAATTCAGTATGTTCTCAAGTAGCAGGGTTCTACTGAGAAGTGATGCTTACATAATGATTTCCTTCCTAATGGGATTGTTGGCCACATAGGCAATCGCTTCCTTCTCATCAGCCATTGGTTCGGTGGCATCAACGATCTTCTGGAACATGGTCCTTTTTCTGGGTTGGGAAGAAAATGGGATCATCATCGATACGATATGTTTAAGAGTGTCTCTAGATGAAGGCATGCTCTTGAGAGCTTACTTGAAATACAAGGCCAGGTCAGTTGCAATGATGCAGACATCGTGCAAGTGCTGGACTGTCTCAAACTGGCGTTTCTGCAGACTTTGGAAAATGTTAACGCTCTGTAAAAAAAGAGCCACAAAATAAAGTTTACCTGGCTGTCATATTGAGCTCTGGAACACTTTGTGCTTTATGACATAACAAACCTCTTCTGCCATCAGCGTCTTGCTGTAATCAAGATGGTGCCTTTCCAAGATGGAGGAGCCATGGAGCTTGGCCAGTGGTGATGTGCTCCTGCATTGGAAATGGATTGTGAGTAAAATGCCTTCTGTGTCTTTTTTGAAAATATTAGTAGTAAAAAATATATATGCTAAATTACTTTGTCTGGTAGAGATTGTTGGTACCCCTGTGGTCAATGTCGTGACAGAATGCAGCCGCTACCATCGCAAAGGCATCAAGGTCGGAGTAGTATTTTCTCAGCCTTCCAGTCTTTTGGGACAGCAAACGATATTCAGTATTACAGCCTCTTTGGTGGCAAATAGCATGATGTGTGGATTAAAAAACGTACTTGCAGAAGACAGAACATGGTCTGGCCCACGTTAAACCCGTGCCTCCAGTTATGGTATGTGATATCTCTGTAGCCTTTTCGTACAGTGTACATCCATTTTGTCAGGACCTGGAGCAAGTGTAGACCCAAAAAAATGTCATCCCAAAACTGAAGGAACTACATGAAAGTCCAATAACAGTTGACATGTAATTCCTTATTTACAGATTTGTTGCCAAACAGTTGCATTCATAGGCCCAGATTTTTTTTTCCATAAAAAAATGGAAGTTTGTGAATGGTGGACATCTGATTTCTGTGGAAATCTGCTGAGCTTTCTGTGCGAGTCTGGTAATCGCTAATCACCTGCCAAAAATAAACACAGGCTCTAGTAATAAGATGAGTGCTGCTTGGAAAATTAGCCTTGAGCGGTTGTTGCACTACACATCCATTTATATGTATGTGAATGCTGAAGACCGGCAACACAGACCTCTTCTGAATTAAAAGCACACTAACTTTAAGGCTGCAAATGTGCAGTGTTGCAGGAAATTGGTGTAGATTGTCTATTTTTATAGTTTGGATTTATTATTATTTGTTAAATTGATGCGTTTAAATAAGATACCACAGAGCATGACATCACATCACGACTGTTGCACTGTTCAAAGAAATACAGTATATGGTAGTTTGACCGCCCCAATATATTATTTTGGAAATGATCATAAAGTCCAGTCTCACCTCTGCTGGCACTTTGAACTTCTCTACCACTCCAAGTTCAAAGAAACAGCGAATGCCACACTTGATAAGGTCAAGCTCAGAGACAGGCAAGTCACTAAAACTAAATAGTAGCAGATCAACATCTTTGGCTTCTGGAATGTTGGCTCTCTGTGTATTAAAATACAAGTAGATAAATTTAAAAAGTCATGTTCAACATTTAAGATCAATAATATGTTCGCTATGAATATATTGGTTCAGAGTAAAAAAAAAGTCATACCAAGAGTTTGTACATTTCTCTCTGATCGCAGTCCTCAGGGTTCATGTCAAACTTCTCCTTCGTGTTCTAACGAGACAAAAAATGTTTAGTTAACATAATAAAGACTGCAGTTTCTTTAAAGCATGAGCTTGTATGATGCCTCACCAGAATCTGTTGGACTTCAGCTGGGGTGGCTTTGGTCTGGTACATGACCATTTCCGCTGCAATCTCTCTTCTCCACTCTGTCCGATTCAGTTTGTCATATGTGTCACAATTCAGTACAGACCATCCTAGGAACTGTGTTAGGGCCTAAAACAAAGTCAGAAAACCACATTAGTGTTGCAGCACTAGATTAAAAGGAGCTAACGGGATGGTGACCCTTTAACGACTCACTTCAGTAATTTGTTCATCCTGCTCATCGAATGGCTTGCCATCTTTCCGATTGAAGAAAGTGGCAACACCCACAATTTCTTCTTTCTTGTTGACAATAGGAAGGGACAGGACGTTTTTGATGAGGAAACCAGACTCGTCCACAGCTTCTTTCTGAAGAGTGAAGCAATTAAAAGAGTGGTATTTACATTCACCTTGTCAATAACCTAATCAAAATGATGACTAAAATAAAGTGTTTTCTGTCTCAGTTTGAAGGTTACAGGTTTGTGTCTATTTCAGGTGTGGATCAGGAACAGTATGAGCTCTGAGAGGGTTTATCCTGGAATGGATTACAGTACCTGGAATGTAAAGTAATCATCAGCAGCAACATTCATCATGTTACAAATCTGGAGAAAGAAAAATAAAACAAGATTTCCCTCAGTCAGCATAAGCGATAATACAGCAAGTAGTCGTTTACCCCATTGAGTAGCTCATTTAACTTGGGTTAAGTCACTGGTCTCAAACTCAATTCCTGGAGGGCCAAGGATCTGCACAGTTTAGCTCCAACCCTAATCAAACACACCTTTGGACCAAAATCTCTGCGGAATGTTTGTAGCACCTTGTTAAATATATGCCATGAAGAATTAAGCCAGTTCTGAAGGCAAAACCTGGTATTGGTAAGGTGTACCTAATAAAGTTGCTGGTGAGTGTATGTGCCTGTTTAGAATTTAACTTCAAAACTATAGGCATTAATAGAGAGTGGTCTTTCTGAAAAAATTCCAATAGATCAGCTTTTTGGGTTCCCCAAAGAACCTTACAGTGAACAGTTCTTAAAAGAACTATTTTTCGTAGTGTGAAGAAGAAGAATCTAAAGAACCCTTTGTGCAGTTGACAAGGTTCCATGGATGTTAAAGGTTCTTTATGGAACCATAGATGCCAATAAAGAACCTTCATTTTTAAGACTGAAGGGTGTTCATTTGGGTTCAGGTCTGGTTCAGGCCTTGTGTACAGTTTTGTTTATTTACTGGAATAGCCAAACCTATTAGAAAATGGTGTCCAGATACAGTGTTTGTATGTGGTAGAATATGACTTACGACATTTGAGTTTTTACAATATGAGCAAAGAACGTGTTTTTATGCATTAAAAAAATTATGCTTACGGTATGACTTTGATCTCTTCTTTGCTCTCTAAGAGATAATCAATGATCTTGTAGAAATTGATTTCCTGTTAGAAGATAAAAGAAGTTGTAATAATACTAGACAGCAATACTGACTTGTTTACCGAAGAGAAACAAATCTGTTACCCTGCCGTCAGGTGTCTTTGGGCCTTTGTACGGCTCCACATCTCCCAATTTAACCGGCCACTCATCGTAGAACTCCTAAACAATCAAAGCAAGGTTGAGTGTTTTCATGAATCGCTGATCAATGACCAAATGAAGGATGATCACCATATGTCACAAACCTTTTCTTTGGTCATGTCCAGAAGGCCGACAGAGTACCTCTCGCACTGGAGGTAGGTCCTGACGGTGTACAGGGCCTTGTGAAACTGTCGCTCAATGTCCGTCAACTCTTCAAACACTTTGCTCGCAGTCCATAGAAGAACCTGTGGCAGCAGTTTACAGTCAGAGTCAAGATCCAAATCACAGTCAAATATTAAGTGTTGTAGTCCGTAGCATTACCTGGCTTCTTCTAGATTCCACATTATACATGTATGAGGTGTAATGCTGTAGGGCAATGACTGTGGCGAAGGTGATGTACTTGGAGAAGAGCTGAAAAACATTTGTAAAACATTTACTTGATAAAAAAAATGTCTATGCTTATACTGACAAAGTGAAATTGTAGTCTTAAAAAGGTCCGTTCACACCAAGAATAACTATAAAGATAACTGTAACTTTAATTATATTAGCATCCACAGCAACGCACCACAACGTTCTGTTTATTATATGCGTATGCATGCTGCAGTTTTGTCGTCTGCCGGTTTAAATGCTTGTGAGTCGGGTGAATTCTAATTGGCTGTCAACGTTTTAATCGTTCAGTTGGGAATAAAACTAAGCGGTAACCGCTGGTAAGCTAGTATGCTTTATGGGCAAAAGTATGTGGACACCCAATTACGGCTACTCTAATACGTCTGTTGAACTGCTAGATAATGCAACTATCAAATCAGCCAATCACATGGCAGCAATTCAATGCATTTAGGGATGTAGACATGGTCAGGCGATTTGCTGAAGTTCAAACCGAGCATCAGAATGGGGAAGAAAGTTGATTTAAGTTGGTTAGATGGGCTGGTCTGGGTATTTCAGAAACTGCTGATCTACTGGGATTTCCTCACACAGTCATCTGTAGGGTAGCCTATATAGAGAATGGTCCAAAAGAGAGAAAATATCCAGTGAGCTGCAGTTCTGTGGGCAAGAAGGTTGCCTGGTATGGTAAGTCTCGATTTCTTCTGTGACATTCAGATGGTAGGGTCAGAATTTTATGACATGAAAGTATTGATCCATCCTGCCTTGGGTCAGTCTGCTGCTGCTGCTGGTGGTGGTGTAATGGTGTGGGGGATATTTTCTTGGCAAATTTTGGGTCCCTTAGTACCAACTGAGCATCATTTAAACACCACAGCCTACCTAAATATTGTTGCTGACCATGTCCCTCCCTTTATGACCACAATGAACCCATCTTGTGGTGGCTACTTCCAACATAACGTGGCATGTCACAAAGCTCAAATCATCTGAAACTGGTTTCTTGAACATGACAATGAGTTCACTATACTCAAAATGGCCTTCATAGTCATTAGATCTCAATCCATTAGAGTACTTTATGTTTGGGATGTTCTTCAGAAACCTACGGGTGACGTCACGGACACTACGTCCATGTTTTTATACAGTCTATGAATAAAACGTTTCTGGAAGAAATCCCAGCGATATCGTTCCTCTGTCTCGTTAGCGTTATAGTAGTGGTGTGAAGTGTGAACCTCATAGAATAGGGCAAATAATCTGATCAATCTGATTCAGCACAAATTTGAGGTCAGAATCACATGATTTCTGCTTTGTCATTTTTCAGATACTCACGTCTTCATCTGCTTTGGAGAATTCATTTCCTCCCACTTTGTTTATTACCATGACCACACCAAGTGGGTCTTTCCCGTTCATGAGAGGGGCAGCCAGCATGTTTTTAGTGGTGTATCCTGTTTGCTTGTCCACAAAATCACTGAATTTGGGATTCTAAGGAACAAATACATTGGTTAATGTTCCATACAGCTGTTTCATAATGCACTGGTTGAAATAGAAATGGGTTAAAACTGCTTAATACAAAATATCCATTAATTCCTCCACCATTTTAGCCAGTAGGCTACAGCATGTTTGCTTAAATAACAAAATTATAACATTTCTGTACATAGAATAAAAAATGTGAAACATATTTTCATATTATTAATATATATATTTTCAAACTCGAAAACTTAAGAACTGTTTCTAAATTAGACGTTTTAATCAGTCATAATAAGGGCTGCATCTATTAATTAAAATGATCTCTTTAGATAAGGTATTTGGATTTGTTCTCTTGTCACTGAGACTAATTCTACCTAAATTTACACTTCTGTGTTATGAAGGTTAATAGATTTAACCCTGTCTCGGCCACTTAAGCTGAGGTTGCACTGGTGTGCCATGATTAAACACCATGCTGGTATTTATAGCATACGTATGCATCTTTAATTATTATTATTATTTTTTTTTTTATCATACTACTCATATAATGCATTGAAGGCTGTATGGATATGCTGGATGATATCAAATGTGTATCATGTTCTATAGTAAAGTACATTTTGTTTGGTAAAACTTTGGTATTTGACATTTTATTGTAGATTTAATGTATAAAACTTTGCAATGAATATAAATATGTAACATTTTTCTCAGCAGTTTTACTGTTGGCTTATGTAGAAAGCATATAAAGAGTAATTCTCACTTTCACAGTTTATGTTCATAAGTAAGTATTCTTAATTATGAGTTAACAAGTGCTGATGCTTTGGTTAAAAAACTTGGCACATGTTAAAAAAAAACTTGACAGGACAGTCATTTGTTGCTAAATAATATCAAGATGTAGCAGGCTATCAGGAGCAGAGAAAATAAGCAGCTTTTCTGCAGGGGGTTGACTGACCTCCACAGTCACCACGGGACAGAAAAAGTTTAATCCTTTGTCAAACGAATAGTCGACTTTCAGGTAACAGGCCTGCCTAATAAACCTAAGAAGATGATTTGCTTGCAACTTACCGCGTGTCTTTTTATAAATGAACATGTGCAAAGCATATTAGAGCACTATAAAAAGCAAAAACACAGCTCTTGCTCTATGACCTAAAAAGGCTTTCCCCTCTGTAAGCTAATGTAATTTGGTTAATTCAGTCATATTAACATAATAATGTGTTTGACTATAATAATGCCAGTTATTTTAGCCGGCACCACGTTAAGAACATATTTTGAGTTGCTGACAAAACATGTTTGTTTAATGTGGATGATCTGCATAGGCTGTCATCTATTAAGGATATAAAAACAGTTTAATGGTCTTTTTAAAAACGGTGTTTCTGCAGTTCTACACACAATTTACACAGAAGATACATAGCTATATGCTATTTGAAAAAAAGGAGGAGGATTTGCATGAAGTTAAAGTGGTATAACTTCATGTTTGTATGCAAAATAACAATACATTGATTATAGATAAGTTTTATTTACCCTGTTTATTTCTTTGCTCCAAGTATTGTGGCATTTAAAAATTAGAACATTTTATCTCAATCCATAAAGCAGCTGAATGCCTTCAAACTCTATAAATTACTTGCAATGTAACCCCCTTAAGTTGAAATTCATTTGTTATAATTTGCTTTTATATATTTTGGTATGAATTATTTGTAAATTATTTTGTTTTTAACTTTTTTTTATTATTCATTTGATACATGTAATATTTTTTGCAGAGCTTTAATAAAGGTTAAAAGGAGAGCTATAAAAGACAGCTTTGCCTCTTTTGCTCACCTGTTTGACATCGGGAACATTAGCTGGTTTTTTGGTGGTCACTATTTGGCCAACTATGCCAATGTCAGTAGGGAAGACAATTTCAGATTGAGGGTTGACCAAGTTTGCCTCGTATTTCGAGGTAGGGGTGATATCGAAAAGACACGTAGCGAGCTCAGGGATGCCGTTTCTGGCTCGGTATATGAAATAGCTGCAGCGGTCTGCGTTCACCAGCATACATATCCTCTGCAGGACCTTGTGCATGGCCTTTTCCATAATGGGCTGCGAATGCATTTCTTTGATCATGTCAAAGATGATGGTGGCCTCCTGGATTTGGCTGACATCCTTGAACGAGGCTGGATCTTTGATATCAAGGTTCTCGGTAAAAGCAGCGGCGATGACCTCGCATCGGACATTCTTGTCGAAATATTCTTTGGCAAACTGAGGGTTATTCTCCAAGTATTTTTCAACACTATCCTTGTCTGCCATTTTGTAGTGTGCTTCTTTGCTCGTCCTCTCACAGATTCATTACTAGTGGGGAGTCAGGATGAAAAGTGAAGCTTCTCAGTGATACCCTCCTTCAGATAGGTGCATCCTCCAGAGCAGAGATCAGTGCAGGTCTCCTCCGACAGGCTGCCAGAGAATAGTGGCTTACATGACATTAAATCCCTAAACTTTCTTAACCTGCAAATCCCCACCATGATCATTTCATGTTAGACAATCCAGTCGGAGTCAAACACCTCTGTTTTCTCTTGGGGAGAAAGTGTCGGTACACGACATGATATTTGTCACATTGGTTTGTCGATTAGACTGATAGTGTTTCTGATCTAATACACCAGTGTTTATGGGTCCATTGGGCCCAGTATGCACACAGGGACAGCGTCTCTTATATATATGCTTATAGCACTTGCTTAAAACCATATATTTACTACATAAATGGACAAGTGATATGTCAGTCACCTGAATGCAAATGTCTTGTAAGCATTGTCCTTATTAAACCTAGCGCTCAAGCTCTCCGAGTAAGAAAATAAATTCTCAGAATTGGGCTATTATTAGCATTTTTTTGCACTTTCTGCACCCAGAAAAGATGCTGGACACCCAGGATCTATTTCCAATGATAGGATTAGACCCGATCTGTCACTCTGCCAGATGTATAAAAGGATCTGTCTCCTTTTTCTCTGATGTCGTGGAAGTGTCAGGCATCCAGAATGTAAAAAAGAAAAATACTTGCATCATATGTACCTGGCTTTGTAAATCCAGAATTAAGTAAAAGTGATTATCAGGATATCCTCTCTTGAAAGGACAGAGCCTGGCTTGGCACTTCAGAGCGCTCACACGTTTAAGTTCACAGTCCGACAGACAGAACAATGCTAAATTTACCACACTCACCATTAATTTAATTGGATGTTGATTGATAAAATATCACACATGCTATGTGTTAAATAGCCAACTGTGTATGTAGAGCCTGATATGCATGCATTTGAACAAAAACAAACAAGTGCGTTATGTATTTATTGATGGACTTTGAGCAGACAAGTGCATGGAGAAGGTTTGGCGATATTAGCTTATTTTGAGATCTCTTCACCTCAGGCTTGCAGTAAAGTCTTGAGTTGTTGAGACCCTAGGGTTGGGTACCGAAACCCGGTACCAATATGGCACCTATGTAAACGGTATGTACTAGAACCGAATCAGAATGCAGATCTTGGTGCCATGCCTGAGCGATCGATTGAAATATTTGTCCTCTGGTTCTCTGAAATGAATGTAAGAAGCATCATCACCGGCACTCCGACTTAAAAGCTCAACTCGGGAAACGAGAGCATCCGAGGAGTGCGTGAATGCAGTAATTACACTTGCTCTGATGGCAGCAGGTAGCCTTTCGTTAACTAAGCTAAACATGCTTAAATGAAAATGCCTAAAGCTAAACTTCCATTTTATTCACATTTCTAAACTTGTTGTCCAACAAATGAGAACATTATAACCTTTTTACTCCACAACACCAGTCAAATGCTTCCTTCTGTGATCTGATGTGGCTTCTTGTCACAGAATGAGGCAGAAAATATGTTCCATAGTCTACTTTAAAAAGAATACATCGATTAGCAATGGATTATAAATATACTTAATTATTATGAAAATACCAGAGATGGCTTGAATATAAACTTGATAAACTATATTGTCGCAGTCGAGTGTTTATTGTCTTTGTTTTATCATTCAAAACGTTAATATGTTCTGTTTACTCAGTTACAGCTATAATATCGATGTCTTTGCCCATATAAGGGATTTCCTGGCGGGTCATGAGTTCCACTGTGTCTGGATATGTGGATTTTCTGTGCGAGAGCGCCCTCTGGCGTCCAGTATGAATGAAACAGACATCATGTGTTTATAGTGCTAATGGCCAATCCATCATTTTGGGGGAATTTTTATTTATTTATAATTTCCATTATTTTATTTTAATAAGTATCGGTTCAGGCAACTCCGCCATTGCCGGTCCCAAGCCCGGATACAAAAGGAGGAGGGTTGGGCGTCGGGCTAGCAACCCGTCCCTGTAAAAAAAAAAATTATTTTACTACAGAAACGACGAGAGAAAAATGCATCGAATGAAATTGGACGCAGAACCTCGTACCCTAGGTACCTAGATCCCAATATGAAGATGTTTGACCAAACCCACTGTGGAGTCCAGCGCCTGATGACGGATACGACATTTACTGCAAAGAGGATCACCCGAATGGGAACTTGGAACGTACGTACACTCCACCAAAGTGGTCGGTTAAATCAGTTACTTAAGGAATTTGAGCAACATAGATTGGATTTGCTTGGTATCAGTGAATTACGTTGGACAGGCAATGGTGAAATGACAAGTGATGGAAAGAAGATCTTGTATTCCTGTAATGACAAAAAAACACATCCGTGGGGTTGGACTGGTTCTCGGGAAACAAGCAATACGTGCCCTGGTTGGGTGGAAACCAGTTTGCGATCGGATCATCACGGCCTGTTTTGCATCAGCCCATGTACGGACAACAGTCATTCAGGTTTACGCACCAACCGAGGAAGCAAATGACGTTGAAAAGGAGGAGTTCTATGATGTGCTACAGGCCGTGATCGACGAAATACCAAGACATGATCTCAAAATCGTTATTGGAGACATGAATGCCCAGTTCAGCCGCGACCGCCAGGGTTTCGAAGACATCATTGGCCCTTTCGCATCATCGAAACGCCTGTCAGATAATGGTGAACGGTTGTTGTCGTTTTGCACATATAACAACCTTTGTGTAGGAAACACCTTTTTCCAACATAAGTTAATTCACAAGATGACATGGCGCTCGCCAAATGGACTCACGTTTAATGAGATTGATCCTGTTTGCATTAGTCGACAGTGGAGGACTGCTTTGAGGGATGTGAGGAATGAGATCAAAATATTGCAGATGTCTTCACCCTTCAGCTTTCCAATCGATTTCAGGCTTTAGCTGATGTGACAGAGACAAAATGGCAAGACTTCAAGGAAACACTGACCACTTGTGCGCAAGAAGTGACTGGCCAAAGGAGAGGAAGGCGGAAGGAAGAATGGATTCAGGATAGATCATGGGCCCTGATTGACCTAAGGAAGAAGGCCAAAATGAAGCGGGATCAAGCTCTAGAGGTTGAGGATAAGGAAATGGCATCACGTGCATATGCTGACCTTGACCGGGCTGTGAAACAGAGCTGTAGGCGAGATAAGAAATATTGGTTGGAGAAGAAATGCAAAGAAGCCCAGGTGGCCGCAGATCATTGATTGGGATGGACAGAACCGCCTCACTGATCTTGATTTTGCGGATGATATAGCTCTGCTCGCTGAAAACAGTTGCCATTTACAGGAAATAACATCAAGTTTGCATGAAGAAGCAGCAAAGGTCGGATTACACATTAGTGCAGAAAAATCCTAAATCATGCATATCGGCGCTCAAGCTGACATGCCAAGGATTAAGGTTGATGGAAGTGACATTGAAGAGGTTAGTAGGTTTACGTATCTTGGCAGCACTATTGGACAAGATGGAGATGCAGAGATAGATGTGAAATGCCGGATTGGCAAGGCAACATCAGTTTTTCAACAAATGTGCAAGATCTGGTCATCTACGTCAATCTCACTTAACATCAAGCTTCGCTTGTATTCAACCATCATCCTTCCGATGGCAACTTATGCAGCAGAAACGTGGAAGGCATCAGCTCGTATTTCTCACAAGGTAGACGTCTTCCATCAGCGCTGCCTGCGAAGAATACTACGTATTCGATACTACGATCACATTACCAATGAGGAAGTTCTGCGATGAAGCAATATGCCAAGCCTTAGCATAATGATTACATACCGCCACCTGTGGCTGGCTGGACACATTATACGGATGGAAAGCAGCCGCATTCCAAAGAAGGCACTCCAGTGGATTCCACCTGGAGGACGACGATACAGGGGTCGACCACGATTGACCTGGCGCCGAACCTTCATCAATGACCTCAGTTACCTAAACATCACATGGGAAGAAGCCAACGATCTGGCCCTTGATCGCATTCGCTGGAGAGCTCTCGTCGCCCAATACACTTTTTAGTGTGGGTGGAGAAGAAGATCGGTTCAGGCACCGTTTAGGCACTGGAACCGTTTTAAAAGTATCGGTTTGGAACCGGTATAGAAACAAACCCAAACGATACCCAACCCTATTGTTGACACATATCTGTGCTGATACATGCAAGACAATATCAGCAGTCCATCAGCATCACCCAGTTTTCTGATATTTACCTACTCATTCCCAGACAAACAACCAAAAAGGATCACCATTTGTATGTCAAATATTGTCTGCTGCACTTCAGCCTAAAAGCAAGATCTAATGAGCTGAGATTAGGTTTAGTCAGCTTAATATCAAGATCTGGTTTGCTTAATTTGCATTAGTAATGTTGCAAATAAAGCATTGGAAGATTTAATAGCATTTGTTTACAAACCTCCCATAAAAGTTGTAGTTGCAAGACCATTTTTCATTTTCATTATTGTTTAAGATAATAACAGATAATGTTCAGTCAGCTGGTCATTATCATAAAATAAATGTTGTGTACCAGCTGACCAGTACTTTATCCTGTTATTTTACATACAGTGGGTACGGAAAGTATTCAGACCCCCTTCAATTTTTCACTCTTTGTTATATTGCAGCCATTTGCTAAAATCATTTAAGTTAATTTTTTTTCCTCATTAATGTACACACAGCACCCCATATTGACAGAAAAACACAGAATCGTTGACATTTTTGCAGATTTATTAAAAAAGAAAAACTGAAATATCACATGGTCCTAAGTATTCAGACCCTTTGCTCAGTATTTAGTAGACACTGTATATATATATATATATATATATATATATAATTACTATTAAAAATATTAATTTCTTTCAGAAATACAAAATAAATCTTACTGACCTTAAACTTTTGAATGTTAGTGTAGGTCAAACAATGTTTTGCTGCTGTATGTGCCATTTTTTAACAAGTTACATAACTTTGTCTCTTTCTTTTAGTTTTTCAGAGCAGGGGAATTTAGGTCACCTGGAGTTGTCCCTCAACTGCATAACTTACATCAGTGCAACTGTTGGCTCCAAATAAGTCCTGAAAAACTCAACAGAGGTTATTTAAGAGACAGCAAATTGAAGTTTCCTGTACATGTTTAGGTGCTGATTGAACAAATAGAACATAGAAGGAGAATTGGACTTTGATTTGCACTTAGTTCTCTGTTTTCAATAAGAAAAGACCAAAATTCTTTCATTTTTATTCATTTTGTCTCTTTCAAAAGAATGAAAACCAGCCTTGAACAGCAACAGAGTGAATTAATGTAAGTTGGCAAATGGGAGACAATTTAATACTATTACAAAACTGAATACACTTTTAAATGCGGTTTTACAAATGCTAGAGCTGTGGCTTTCAAAATAACAGATTGCTATCAAATAGCACACCCAGATTCCCGACTGAAGATGAAGATTTGACAGAGCAGCCATGACGTGTTAGAGAATATTCATTGCATTTGGACTATGCATTCAATTAGTTTTGTGAATTGGAATGTTTTGTTAGTTAGGTCGCAAAGAAATATAGAGCTGAGTATCATTAGCGTTACAGTGAACCAACAATTAACACCATGTTTTCTAATAATATCTCCCAAGGGTAGCATGTACAGGGTGAAAAGCAAAGGTCCTAGTACTGAGCCATGTGGTACTCCATAGTGAATTTTGATATGATACCTCTTCATTTACTGCTGCAAACTGATAACAGTCAAATAAATACAATTTGAACCAAGCCAATGCAGTTCCACTAGTGCCAACATAATTTTTGCATCTATTCAAAAGACATTGTGGTCGGTAGTGTCAAATGCAGCAATAAAGTCTAGTAACACTCAAATGTATTAGTGTCAAATGCAGCAATAAAGTCTAGAGAGATACAACCATAATTGGGTAAGTGCAAGTCATTTGTAACTCTAATAAGAGCAGTCTCGGTACTGATTTGGTCTAAAACCTGACTGGAAATCCTTGCAGATACCTAGGATTCTGCCAGTTCTAGTATTTTTGAAAGAGAAGTGAGAATCAAGATCAGTCTTGTAGTTAACTAATTCTCTAGGATCAAGTTGTATTTTTACCTAATGAGAGGCTTTTCAAGCCAGCTTGAAAATGTTTGGGATATATCCTGATGATTAAATAATAATAATATTAAGAAGAGGATCGATGACTTCTGGAATTATCTCTTTCAGTAGCTTATTTTGTATAGGGTCTAATATACAAGTTTTTTATTTTGATGTTTTAACAAATATAGACAACTCTTCCTCTCCAATAGCGAAAAATGAATGGAATTGTTCCTCAGGGGATCTATAGTGCACTGTCTGATGTGATACTGTAGCTGATGGCTGCATGGTTATAATATTCTCTCTGATGGTATTAATCTTGCAAGTAAAGAAATTCACATAGTCATTGCTGAAATTTTTTTCTAAAACAGTTGAAAAGTAAAGCAGTTTTGAGGGCCTTTCTTTAGGCAACAATCACTACCCTTCCATGCAATTTGAAATACCTCTTGTTTTCTTTTCTGCCTGCTGTGCTCTTTTTTTCTGGGGCTGCTCTCTTTAGGGTGCAAGTGTGATACAGTACCATGGCATCAGACTGTTCTCCTTAGACTTCTTTAAGCGCAAAGGAACAAAGTGTCTGAAGTGCTAGAGTCAATAGTTTCTCTAAGCTGTCTTTAACATCCATGGAACCTTTTCATTGCACAAAAGGTTCTTTATAGTATAACAAATTTATTTAGATTATTTAAATGTTTTTCACACTAAGAATAAAAAAAATCACTGAAACTTTCTTTCGGGAGCCCAAACATTTTTTTTCTATTGCATTGTAAACTTTTTAGCCTCTTTTAAAAGCTTTATATTTAAGAGTGTAAAAAGGTTCTGTGTTCACCGAACAGAAATGTTCCCTCTTGAAGAGGCTTCAAGGAATGTAACACTCAAGCTGTTGTGCAATCCAGCTGCAACCTAGAGAAAAACACTTTAGGTGATGAGCAAAGGTCAACACTACTGTGTTCCCTGTGAATACCTGAATCACAGCTGTTGTGTAAACATTTTGTCCAATGACAGGGATGGTGGAGACCGAATTTTGGGTCTTTGGGTGGGATTATGAAATACCCCCAGAAGCGCGTCCATGTATAAAAGCACCTCGCAGGAATCCAGCTGCAGCACTACAGACACACTTCAGATACTGTGATCAAGGTACGCATCTTGAGCATTAGGATTTGTTTAAAGGACAACAAAGTAATAAATTTTTTGGTCTTTTCATAACCGTTGTACTCATTTTTCACAGCTCAAGCACAGAAGCAGCATGCTCAGTCTTTGCATAGCTCTCTGTGTCCTGGGGACATGCTGGGCACAGGACTGTCTGGTGAGCAACATCACCGTCAAACAGGACTTTGACAGGATGAGGGTAAGTTAACCAGTGTTTTTCTTCTTTCCATACGTTGATTTTGAGCTTTCGTTCCTCATATTTGTCCACTGACCTTGCAGTATCAAGGAACATGGTATGCCGTGGCCAAGAAAGACCCCGTTGGGCTTTTCCTTCTTGATAACATTGTCGCCAATTACAAAGTGGAGGAGGATGGAACCATGACAGCCACTGCCCTTGGAAGAGTCATCATTCTCAAGTGAGTTTAAATGGCATTTTATGCTGTTGTGGCGCAAAAATTGTACTTAGGCAATGGAAAGGATTCTATTTTCACATGCTGTTTTAAACTTCAGCAATTGGGAGATGTGCGCCAACATGTTTGGCACTTTTGAAGATACAGAAGACCCTGCTAAGTTCAAGATGAAATACTGGGGAGCCGCAGCATATCTCCAGACTGGATGTAAGTGTACATTTATCATATATAATTGTATATTATTATATATGTTGCTACATAAAAAGTTCAACAGGTTAAAAACTGATCTTGCAAAATCTATGCAAATGGTTAGTTGATTTTTTTGGATATGTATTTTTATTTTATTATATAAATTAAAATATGTAATATATGTATATATTTTCAATTTATATATTATTTAATATAATTATTTAATAATCTTTAATAACATTTTTCTTTATTTTTAATTATTTAAAATTTATATTACATTATATACATATACATATGTCAATTATTTAAATAATTTAATCATCGTTTAAAACCTCTTTTCTTTATTTTTATGATATTATGATATATTATATATCATAAAATGTATTTTATAATATATATATTTTTTGATGGCTCAAACGCAGATGTATTGTAAGCATGGTTCTTATTAAACCTAGCTTGTGAAATGTGATTAAATCATATGTTACGTAAAAACCCGACAGCTCATCTGCTCATGACCTGTCTCTGACCGTTCCACAGATGATGACCACTGGGTCATTGACACCGACTATGATAACTACGCCATCCACTACTCCTGCAGAGAGCTTGATGTGGATGGAACCTGCTTGGACGGTTATTCCTTCATCTTCTCCCGACATCCTGATGGCCTCAGGCCTGAAGACCAGAGGAATGTGACGGAGAAGAAACAGGACATCTGCTTCCTGGGCAAATACAGACGCGTTGCACACACTGGTAAGATGGTTGAGCCTCATAAACGATTATTATTTAGATTCACTCATAAGTTCTAAATGTGCTGATGTGTTTTTACTTTTTTCATTATGCAGGTTTCTGTGACACTGCCTAAACGACCACTACACAGAGTTTCTGAGGATGTAATCTGACATGTTTTATAGTTTGAACAAATATGTAAATACAGACAATAAGCATGCTACTTAATAAAAGAGAATGCATAATAATTTTGCACAAAGCAAAAGGAAAAATGTTTAATAACAGTAAGTTGCAGGATGTAACTGTCTTTTTTTTT